CCCAGCTTCCTTTAATAACCTTTCTATCGAAATTAACTTACAAATTCCCCGGGCAATTACTCGTCTTTTTTATTCCGCATTGCTTCTTGCTACTACAGATCCGTTTGTTACTTCTCCAGGTCACCACATTTTCCCATAGTTTAATACAATACCCGGTAGTAGATTTGGTGTCATTTGAACCAACCCAATCCGAATCTACAAATCATTCAACATCTTTTCTTTCATTCTTCCTAAACAACGATCCTTTTCTCGGTGTCCCCTTCAAATGTCATAGAATTTGAGTTACTCGCTTCAAGATCTTTTTGTAGGAGAGTGCATAAATTGGCTTACGACAATCACACCGTAAGCAATGTCCGGCCTCGTGAGTGACAAGTATATCGACTTACCTACTAAGTGTTGGTACTTTTCTCGACTACCGATGCATCACTTTCATTTATCTTATGTCCGTTGTTTCGTTCTAGAGGAGTCCCAGTAGGTTTACATCTAAGTTTCTCTCGTTTCCTTAAAGAGATCAAGAGTATACATCCTTTAAAAGATGAAGATACCTTGTTGACTCCTAGCAATTTCCATCCAAAAGAAGTACTATAGTTTCCCAAGGTCCTTGACTTTGAACTCGGCTTGTAGTCATCCTTTAAGATTGTTAATCTATTGAAATATGATCTCTAGTAATCACCATATCATCAAGGTATATTATCAAAATCGATTTTCTTCCATCGTTTGCCTCGCTTCACAAATAAAGCATGATCGACTTGTCCTCGCTTATAGCCAAACCGTATTATAGTAGCACTAAATCAAGGGAACCAAGCCCGAGGAGATTGTTTCGACCATAGAGGGATTTTTTTAACTTGCACATAATATCGAGCTTCTTATCTCCTTCAAATCCAGGAGACAATTTCATTTACACTTCTTCCTCTAGACTACCATCCGGAAAGGCATTCTTGACATCCATCCGGTGCAATTCTTAATCCAGATTAGCCGCAAGAACTAACGGAAGAGTTTAATTTTGCTATAAAAGCAAATGTTTCTTCATAGTCAATGCCATAAGTTTGTGTGTAACCTTGAGTGACTAACCTCACTTATATCTTTTAATCAGTCCATTTGACCCTAATTTGATGGTGAAAATCCCCTTGCATCCAATCGGTTTCTTCCCTTCGGGAAGATTGACTAATTCCCATGTTTTATTATCTTCTAATGCTTTCATTTCCTTTATTACAATAATTGTCTATCTTGGATCCCTTAGGACGTCATGGATGGTTGTGGGGACCTTTGCACTATCAATTTGTGAAATACATGCCCTATAATTCCGTGACGGAATGTAATATAAGAGATAATTTAAAATTAGATGCTTAGTATAGATCTTACCCCCTTTTTGATAGCAATAGGAACATTAAGATCATTAATCGTAACAATACTTTTGTTTGGTGGAACTTCGCGAAGGAGTTGCCTCCGGTTTTGATGAATGGTTTTAGAGAGGAACTCGTGGTCTCCTTGAGTAAACATGAAGTTTTCCTTAAACTTGAGATGGGGGATCCGTTTTTACCCCTTGACCTATTACTTGAGTGGGTTCAAATTGGGATGGGGATTCGAGCACTAGAGGGATCGAAAGGGAGATGGGTAAAGGAATAGAAGGATCCCAATGATTTTCTTTGTTAGATTTCTCCTCCTAAAGAGAATCGTTAGTGTAGTAACTCCGATGTTCAAATAATGTTACTTCATAGGAGACTAGGAAGCGTTTAAAAGAAGGAAAGTAACACTTGTATCCATTTTGTGTAGGAGAGTTGCCAAGAAAGAGACATCTAATTGCCTTGGGGTCTAGTTTTCTATGGCTTGGACTCATGTTTTAGACATAGACAAGTACAACCAAAGACTTTAGAAGGGAGTGAATTAAGGACATGGATGTGAGGGAAAATTTTTTGCAAATAGAATAGAGTAGTGCTAAATTTAAGGGCTTTTGAAGGAAGCCTATTAATTAGATAGGCAACAGATGAGCACGACTTCTCCCCCAAAAAATTATAGGACATGGCTAGTGAACATAAGTGTGCGAACTACTTGATAAATGACAGGAGCCAAAGCAAAATTCAAATAGATGGGCTACAATATGAAAAAGCCACACATGGGCTCACACAAGACAAACCGGGCCAAGAAAGGAAATAGTCCAATTTTGGTCTTCCGGAGCTCGACCCAACATTCATCTTCTCTTCCCGATCACTTAAACGGAAAAGATACCCTCCCCGCAAATGCTTTCCTTTTTTTTTTCAGTAGTTTAAAATTAGTTTGTTATTTCTTGAAGCATCTCTCTCGTGAGGTTAACATCTTGCTTCTAGATGTTTCTACTACCGAGCTATAACAACAATAACCAATCGTACTTGCCTATAAATAGGCACTTCTTCATCTCCGTAAAGTGAGCAAAAATATATACAAACATTTTTCTCCATTTATCATGGTATCGAGCAATACCTTCCTTTAATCAAAACTTATGTTAAGCTTTACGTAGCTTTTTTTCTTTTGCTCTCGTTTTCTTTAGAGTGTTGATGTTTTTCCCTTTCAATCTTCCATCATGTCGGGAAATACTTCTTATGCAAATGTTACTGGAAATCAAAACCAAAATCATACAACCATAAGGCTAGAAGAACAAACAAGCAAGCGCTTATTACTTACATCCAAATGAAAACCCCGCTCTCATCTTAGTCTCTTCTCCTTTGATCGGAGCAAACTAACATTCCCGGTCCGGATCTATGAGAATGACTCTCTTGTCCAAAAACAAATTGAAGTTCATTGATGTCACCATTGCCATGCCACCCAAAGATGATCCAAGCTATGTATATTGGGAAAGGTGCAACACAATGGTCCTATCCCGGTTGATGAGATCATTGTCAAACTCCATAACTCAGAGTGTAATATGGTTAGACTTAGCTTCGAGGTATGGAAGGACTTAGAGGAAAGATTTTCTCGAGCGGATCGCTTTCGTATATCGGACCTACAAGAAGAAATCTATAACTTTCGACAAGGTACTCTCAACATATCGACTATTACACTCATTTAATGGGATGAGTTTTTTAACTTAAGACCCCTTCCAAAATGCAAATGTGAGCCACAATGCACTTGTGATTCACTCAAAATTGTCAAATCATACCGGGATAGTGATTGTGTCATAAAGTTTCTAAGAGAACTCAATGAATCCTACTTTACTTGTGAAATCTCAAATCATATTGATGGATCCTTTACCGGACATTAAAAAGGTTTTTTCCATGGTTATACAACATGAAAGACAACTACATAACACTCACCAAACTTCATACCAAACCAACTCCCTTGAACCTCGAAGCCTACTTTGCCAAAACAGACACCGGAAGACCACTTCCAATAGAATAAAAAACCCATATGCACCTACTGCAATAACCCCGGTCATATGGAAGACAAATGTTACGGGAAGCATGGCTTCCCACCTAACTTCTCACCTATGCCTCGATCAAATCAACATTCATCCGGGGATTATACCAAAGCAAGATTCAAAATAGCTCATCAAGTGGAAACTCACCTTGCTCCAGCCTTCAAAAATGAGACACTAGTCTCCATTTCCACCACGAGAACCTAATGCGACAAACACTCGGTTTCACCCTCACTCAAGAGCAATATAGTCAATTGATGAACCCGTTAAACCAAAATTCAGAACCAAAGAATGGCCTAACACACACTTCTCAAATCAACACGTTTCCAATGACGATCAAGGTATAAACTCATTTATTTCATTTTCTTCTCTATGGTCATCCACATGGCTCCTTGATTCGGTGCCACGGATCATATTGTTTGCAATCTTCGTTTATTTTCCAATCTTTTGCACTGTTAAGGAAGTCATAGTAAGGCTCCCCAATGGCCAATATATACATGTTACATATATAGGAATAGTTAACATCTCAGCTATTATTTTAACCCATGTTCTATACATTCCAACATTTTCTTTCAATCTCATTTCCATTAGCAAACTCACACATTCATCCCACTCGCCAACTAACTTTCACTTCTCATTCATGCATTATCCAGGATCTCCACTCCTTGAAGACGATTGGTTTTGCTAGACAAACCAACGGCTTATATTATCTTTTACCACCATCTCCTATCAACTCTTCATCTCTCCGTAGTGTCACATCTCAACAACATAGCCTATGGCATCAAAGACTAGGACATCTCTCCAATAATAGGCTGCAAATGTTATCTACTATTCATCCTAGTATTCCTTTCCACAATGTGATGTTTGTCATTTCGCTAAACAAAGACGATCATCTTTTCAACTCGGTAATTCCCTTGCTAAATCTTGTTTTGATTTAATACACGTTGACATTTGGGGACCTTACAATACTCCTTCTTTACATGACTATCGCTACTTCCTAACCATTGTGGATGATCATAGTAGAATGACTTGGATAAACATGATGAAATCCAAATCCGAAACTAGGCAACACATTAAAAATTTCTTTGCCTATGCTTGAAAGACAGTTCAACCAAGCACATCAAGTGTATCGAAGTGACCAAGGCCTAGAGTTCTCTATGATAGATTTTTTTCATGAAAAAGGAATTGTCCATGAGACCAGTTGCATAGAAACTCCTCAACAAAATGGAAGAGTCGAAAGGAAACATCAACACATACTAAATGTTGCTAGAGCATTGAAAATTCAAGCTAATCTTCCCACTAAATTTTGGGCGGATCGTGTTCTACATGCGGTATTCCTCATCAATCGCATACGCTCTCCTATACTCTCTCAACAATCTCTTTATTTTGTTATGTTTAAAACTAACCCCGATTTTTCTTCTTTGAAAGTATTTGGCTCTCTCATTTTGCTTCGACAAAACAAGCATCCGAGAGACAAATTTGACACAAGAGCCGGAAGATGTATTTTTCTTGGTTTTTCTACGGGTATAAAAGGCTACAAAGTCTTTGATCTAGACTCACGGGAATCATTCCTATCCGGAGATCTAATTTTTTATGAAAATCATTTCCCCTTTCAACATTCACCACCAGAGACCACCATCCCCACTCCCATTCCGCCCCTCATACATCCTACCCCTCCCTCCGACTCCGTTACCACCCCTCCCCCATCACCACCCAACTCCATCCCAACATCTCCACCTCTACCTTTCCTCTCACAACAACCTCCACCTCGCCGCTCCACCGAACATCTAAACCTCCTTCTCACCTTCATAACTATGAATGTCCTACAATTCATCATACCTCCCCATACACCCTTTCCCACGTTCTCTCCTATCATAATCTTTCTCCCACATATTACACCTTCTCCATTACCCTCACATCATTCACTGAACCAAAAACTTACAAACAAGCTATGCAACATCAAGAGTGGATCGACACCACACAAGCGGAATTAAATGCTTTGTAAGAAAATGACAACTTGGGAACTTACATTTCTTCCATCCGGGAAGACCGCCATTGCTCGCAAATGGGTCTATCGACTCACATTCAACGCCAATGGCACCTTGCAATGATGCAAAGGCCGTTTGGTTGCCAAGGGTTTCACTCAGCAGGCCGGCCTCGATTACATAGAAACATTTTCTTCGGTTGCCAAGCCTACTACAATTCGTGCTCTGTTAGCCGTGATTTCCTCCTAAAACCGGCATCTCCATCGGTTAGACATCAATAATGCCTTCCTTCATGGTGATCTTCATAAAGAAGTCTACATACGACCTCCTCCCGGTCTACCTCTGCCTTATCCCGATCTTGTTTGTTGTCTCGAAGAGCCTCTATGGGCTCGAGCGAGGTTAGCGAGTTAATGGTATGCTAAGCTCTCCTCCGCCCTTCTCTCCGATGGCTTCGATCAGTCAAATTCGGACCCCTCTATGTTCATCAAGCGCTGTGCCTCCGGTTTCATCATACTCCTAGTCTATGTTGATGATGTTCTTTTGGTCGACAATGCTTATCTCCCTCATCAACCACACCAAGAAATACCTTGATGATGCATTCAAGATCAAGGATCTCGGTCAAGCTAAGTTTTTCCCGGGTCTTGAACCGGCCGGATCTTCCGATGGCATTAATCTCTCTCAAAGAAAGTACACCCTCGAATTGCTTCAAGAAACTGTTTTTTGCATTCCAAACCTCTCGTCCACTCCTATGTCACCTATTACACGTATCACCGCAATTAGGGAACCATTTTCCGATATCACTCTCTATCGCCGTCTCATTGGCAAACTTTTCTACTCGACAACCACAAGACTCGATATCGACTTCCCAGTTCAACAACTTTCCTAGTATCTAGATAAACCAACAACATTCCATATACGGGCCATTCATCATATCTTGCGTTATCTAAAAAGCTCACTCGGACAAGGTCTCCTCTTTCACAACAATTCTTTATCTCGACTTCTGTGCTTTCTCGATTCGATTGGGCCACCTGCCGGATTCTCAAAAATCAGTCACGGGGTTTTGTATCTTTCTTAGGTCCTTCTTGATCTCATGGAAGTCCAAAAGCGAGGCCACCATCTTTAAAAGCTCATCCGAAGTTGAGTACGAGCTTTAGCCTCCATTACTTGCGAGCTCTAATGGTCGCTTCCGCCTTCTTCAAGACCTTGGTATCCAACATACCCGACCTTCCTTCCTTTACTTGTGATAACAAATCAACCATCTACATTGCCGAAAATCTAATCTTTCATGAATGAACCAAGCACATCGAAATTGACTGTCATATTATTCGTGAAAAGATTAGAGCTGGGATCTTTCATCTGCTTCCAGTTTCCTCTCAAGGTCGGCTTGTTGACATATTCACAAAAGCTCTCCCCAAACCCCTCTTTCGGACCATGTTAGCCAAGCCGGGAGTACACGATGTATACTCTCCGACTTGCGGGAGTGATAAATGATAGGAGCCAAAGCAAAATTCAAATAGATGGGCTACTAACATGAAAAAGCCACACATGGGCTCACACAAGACAAACCGAGCCAAGAAGGAAATAATCCAATTTTGGCCTTCGAAGCTCGGCCCAACATTCATCTTCTCTTCCTAGTCGCTCAAACGAAAAAAGATTCCCTCCCCGCAAATGCTCTCATTTTTTCTGCGGTAGTTTAAAATCGGTTTGTTATTTCTTGAAGCATCTCTCTCGTGACGCTAACATCTTGCTTCTAGATGTTTCTATTGCTGAGTCGTAACAATAATAACCAACCGTACTTGCCTATAAATAGGCACTTCTTCGTCTCTATAAAGTGAGCAAAAATATATACAAACATTTTTCTCCATTTATCACTACTTCAAGAAGGTGACGAGTTTTCCATTTCGTAATTCCGTTCGTTGGGGGTATAAACACGAGTTTTGATGAAAAATACCATTTTCAACAAAATAATATTTTAGTTCATGTGTGAAGTATTCCTTTCCATTATCGGTATGAAGAATTTGAATGGATGAGCGAAAAAGATTTTGTATAAGTTTGTGAAATTGTTTGAAAACAAACGTTGCTTCGATTTGTTTTCAAAAGATAGAACCTACGAGCACGAGTGTGGTCATCAATAAATATAATAAAACTTCTCATTCCGTGATATTCAAGGATTGAGCTGATCTCCAAATATCACTATGTCCGAGATGAAATGGCTTTGAGGATCGATAGGAATGAGTAGGATAATTTTTTCGTTGTTTTGCGAGAGATACAATAGTCATATTGGAAAGAAGAAGAATCTTTATTGAAAAATAGTTTTGGATATAAGTACTTCGGATATATAAAACTAGGATGGCTAAGGCATCTATGCCATAAAATAACATTAGAATTAGAAATACCGGGCATGAAAAGTTTCTTAGGAGATAGGATTCGGATGGAGAGTCGGTAAAGTAATAGAGGCCATTTCGTTCCTCGGCATTTCCAATCATCTTCCCCAAAACAGACTTTTGAAATTTAGAGTGAGTAGGATAAAAAGTTACTACACAATTTAGATCTTTAATTAACTTGCTAATAGAAAGGAGACTATATCATAAATTAGGCATATGGAGGATCGAGTTCAACTTCAAATCACTCGTATGCAACTTTACCCAAATCAATAACGGGATATGCTTTTTCATTTGCCACTCGTGATTGTCATGTCACCATTACGTGGTTTACGATCAACCAAAAAGTGGAAAGACCGGTCATATGGTCCCGGGCACCAATATCAATAATCCACACCTCACGAGTCTTCACTTTTAGATAAAAGAGAAAACTAGATGTTACCTTGTTTTGCAATAGGTGCCATGGAAGAAGTGAATTCGTTTGCTATTCGGATGACTATATTAAGGTCTTCAAAATTCCAATTGTTCTACTATGAAAGGCATGGAATATGAAAGGGATGTTGGTGTTTTTCGTGGCGGATTCTACAACATGTGCTAATCTTTTTTGACTATGAGGTTGCCACCTTGCTTGGTTTCCCATAAAGATCCCAACATGCCTCCTTATTATGGTAGGGCTTATTGCGGTGGTCACACTATAACTTACTATCTTTTGATCTCGGGTTACCATTATAGTGCAAAGTAGCTCAATTTCTTGCTAAAGCATAACCATGTTGAGTGTCTTCGCATATGAACTAGAGCAACTATAGAGCATAACTCTCTTATGGCTCTCTTCGTGTTTGACCTCTACGAATGCCACTCGAATAGATGGAAGAGGCTTGGTACCAAGTATCCTCCCTCTAACTTCATCCAAGTCCTTGTTCAATCTATGGAGAAAAGCAAACACTCGATCCTTTTCAAGCATTTTGTTGACAAGCCCATGTCACTTGCATAAAAAAGATTCATTCTTGCCACAATTCATTTTAAATATTTTATTACTCAATTACTGACCTTGCCCCTTGTTGAGTATTGCAAATTGTGGATTGAATTTCGAAACATTGAGATGTGTTTTCGAAATTCGAATACATCTCCTGAATTGCTTGCCAAATTTCGTGAGCCGTTTTGTAGAAAAAGTATATTTGTCCATTTTTTGGATCCATGGAGTTGATCAACCAAGCCATCACAATAGAATTTTAGGCCTCCCATGTCTTGTAATTGGGTCCGTACTTGCTTGGTGGAAGAATCTCAATAGTGAGATAACCGGTCTTCCCTTTTCCTCTAATCATAAGCAAAACAGATTAAAACCATTCACGAAAAATAGATCCGTTTAGTTTAGGTTGGGTTATTAATTTGTAAGGATTGGGTGATTTCGAGTTTGGGATAGAGCTGGTATTTTGAATTTGAGGGGTAGAGACATCAACGATAGATGAAATAGAATCGGCCATCGAGTACACAACGGTGAACAAAAAAGGCGATTGCCAAAGAAAAGTATCGATTAGTGTCGATGGTTAATATAGACGACATAATTTTAAATAACTCTCGTTATGTTATATAACGGTCATTGTATAATGGTTTCGGAGCATCCCATTATCGTTATTTTAGTATTATAGTAAGTCGCAATCTGCGATGATGACCACGATCATTTTTTCACCCGTCTTTTATTTAAAACTATGATCGACAAGAAAGCTCTACTTGGATATCTTAAAAACAGAGAAGTTTTGTATAATAGATTTTGTTTTTTTCTCTATACAATAGGGGTTGTACAATGTATAGGGTGATATGTTCCCAAATATAGAAAACGCAATTTTAAGAAATACATAATTCTAGAAAATTAGAAATTCTAAGAATAATAGATTGATTCTAGGAATAAAATTGAAATAGAAAATTGACTAGTTAAATCCCTAAAATGTTTCTTCTAACTTTCCAACAATCATAATCTCTATAAATACTCCAATTTGGTGTCCCTTCACTGTATTCCGATAAATGGCTGCCTCCCCCACCAACAACAACATGAATAGTTCCATTAATCGCACTTGAATAATGTTGTTTTTCATTGTTCAAGCATTGATTCCGCACCATCAGCATAAGATACAAAATGACATGAAAATAATCTAATATTTTTTGTCAACCTATTGAGGAATATAAAGAAGAAGAGAGAGGCACAATGGCGGATTGCTAATTAAACACGGTCACTTGAAGAAAGTTCATTTCATTGCTTATGATGGAAATGGTTTGGCATAACGGAGTCTACCTGATACCAACAACATTCTTCTGTTTCCCAATTAGAAGAACGGAGTGTTGATTCGAAGTGCTTCTTCTTTCATCAAGGAACAGAATATTTTTAAGGCGTGATGTAATATTAGTGCTCATACAGCCAAGATATTTTTCAAAAGATATCTGTATCACTATTTTGGTGTTAGTCCTGCATTAATGAT